GTGTGAAAACGTGAGAAATAAGCTGTTGTGATCTACCCAGCTGTTTGTTCTGCTAACCGAGGTCATACAACAATCGACCTTTACCGGGTCAGAGGTTGAGCATGTGTCGCAAAGCTGTAAATTTGAGTTAGTTCTACTTATTTGTCGCTGAAAAACGTCAAATAAAGTTACTATTATAACATCATCTTGTTTAGTTTTTCTTGAATATTGTCATGTTCCGCATATTGCATAATAAGGACGACAAACACAAAATCGTCCTCTCTGCCGTAAACAAGTAAATTCACCACAGCTCAAACAGCTTTTGTAAGCAGCAAATTGATTGGATATATTTGTACCACTCCTCAACTTTCAACCAATAAAAAGCACACTTTCATTACAACATCGATAACAATCCCTTGGATGACCTGTGTTACACGTTTTACTTCCGCTTCACTCGCATGAACACAGAAAACTTTGCTACTACAGTAAATACCAGGACTGTAACACCCGGCAGTGTCATTACATCGGATTTGAGCCGGCTGCCAGCTGATATTTGAATATTATAATTTCCTGTTTTGGTAAAAAGCTTCAGTGTCGGGGCAATGAGACCTTACACCCGATTTCCCTACAGTCGATACAGTGGCGGCATCATGGAAAGCAGCAAGTATTCTTCGTTGTTGGTGCAATATGTCAAAATTGCAGCCGTTGTAGCTCTGTATTGGTAAGTTTGCATTATGAATTTGCGGTATTTGGTGATGATAAACGTGTCGGTTTGACTGAAAAAACGTACGGTAATATAACATGTTTCATTACCGTGACAGACGTAGTAGTCTACAAAATTGCATGATACCCACGTAGATGCAAGCTGACGGTCGTAACTATAATATAAACTGGCAGTTTCTCTCATACTAGTATACTGAATGTGGGCGTGTAGCTAAATTGCCACGAGTCTACTTGTACACTCACCGGTAAAAAAAATCGTCCTTTCTCTTATAAATTTCATAAATATAGATGAATTGTAAAGTGATCGTCAGGCTTGTCATCGATGTTCTTTTTAAGGTTGAATGCTCAATTCATTACATTTTGCATAATATATAAATAATAAAATAAATTACAAAACTCACAGCCACTGATCATCGTGCTGTCTCTCCTAAAACCTTCAAACCAGTGACTTACATCTGTCGATATAATTTAACATGCTTATTTATGTGTCGTGTTTTTTCGATTTTTGGCAAAAATAAAACCCTATGATAGGCTATCAGATTCATGACAATTACATTTAAGGAATCATGAAAGATCACCGAATAATGGATAATAATAATTCTGCCATTGGTTCAAAATATGAATACAGTACTTGTAACATTCATTATCTGGTAGAATTGGTCATGTGACTTAAAATACCAGTCCTGTAAAGTACTTTAATTTCACCTGGAGTTTATTTTTTGCTATTCTTGCTGAAGGGACGAATCAGTGCAAATAAAATCTAGCAAATATACCTTTTTTACGATATTTTACATTAAACTCATCACATACATGTATCAGTGAAGGAAAAAAACATACAAAACGACCATAATGCCTTTTCAATGAAAATTAATTCCAGTTTAAATAAAGTATTTTACAGTAAACTAAGGTTCATAGCTACCAATCCCAAGTGATCAGACAAAAATGGTGGAAAAGTTTACCTCGTACAGAAGCAGTGAATTTTTGCCTTAAAAATGAGACAATAGATCCTTTCCAATAAAACCCAAATTTTCAAATTTGTATTGTCACATTTAAGATTTTTTTGGTCTGAAATTCCTCCTTAATTAAATATTTTCTGAACTTGGAAGCTTGTTAACAAGTTATAAAGTAATTCAACTTTTGAATGCAGAAGACTAATTTTCTCACAAAATTAAACCCAAATATTTTTTATACTTTTTTATCTAAAACAAAAATATAGAAAAACACACGAAAATAGACAAATATTACACCAAAAATAGTGACAGGAAGAAGTATGTCACCCAAAAT